TTCCCTACATTATCAAACTCTTTGGTGTTTCTTTCCTCTGTGACTGTAATTTCCTCTGCCCCAGACTGCAGGTGAGATTTCACAAAGGACCGAGTCGGGGGTCTGATCATTTTATAAAGAAACCGTTCACACGTCGGGTGATCGATGGCGCCTGCGACACACGGATCCGCTCCGCCTGCTCTAACCCTTAGTCTCACGGACTGAGAACTTCACTCCCTCATTTACTTAAATCCCAATGTCTGTGTCCTCCCTCACGCGCGCGCAGTCTCGGGGCAGCGGGTGCGGGACACGGGACGTGGGACACGGGATCTGTGCAGCGGTGTGAACGACACTCCTAATGATTCACGACGTCGGCGGGGATCACAGACCCGGGAGTGAGCAAGCGCTCTGCGGGTTCGGGCCTCGCCCCCAGGACGGCCCCAGCGTCCCGTCCCTCCGCCCCCGTGCCCACCCGCCCAGTCTCTGAGAACCGCCCCCCACTTTCCCCGCCCACTCCCTCCCGGGACCCCGCGCCCACTCCCGGGGCGGGGCGTGGCGGCGCAGTGGGAAGGAGGCTGCGGAACGTGACAGCTGGACGAAGGGCACCGACACCTGAGCCTGAGGAAGTAACGCTCAGGCTCCCTAGAAAGTCGGTCTGCAGCGGCCCGGCGTCGGGACCCCGCGGTCGGCAGGCGCGGCCCCGGGGCGCCAGTGTCCGGTCGTGTGTCCGGCTCCAAGCCGAACGGGACCCGGTGTCGCCGCCCCTCCCCCCCTCCCCACTCCGCGTCCCCTCACCTGCCGGCGGGAGAAGAGCGCCGTGCCCGGCTGCAGCACGCGGGAGCCGCAGCGCTGGCACAGCACCGCCTTCCGGTTCCGGCCCTCCGCCGACACCAGCTCGCTCGGCGGCGCCGCGGGCTCCATGGCCTCTACACGGGCCCTTGGAGGCGACGCGCAGGCGCGGTCTCAGGGTGACCTCTTCGCACCGCGCAGGCGCGATCGCGGCGGCGGCGGCGGCGCTCCTTCAGCGCAGGCGCCGCCTCCCGGCCCTGGACGCCACTGCGCAGGCGCGGCCGTTCGCCGCCGCCCCGGCGGCCGGGTGTCGGCGTGGTTTTGTGACAGGTCCATCCTGGGACGTGACAGAGCTTCTGCCCAGGCTCACCTGGGCGTTGGGCTTCCCTTACACTGAGTGAAACCTGAGCCAGTCCAGGTGTGTGTTTAGTCCCGTGAACGACGGGGACGTCCTGGGGTCAGACCCCCATCAGCAAATCTCAGCCGCAGTGGCCCACACGGGACGCGACCTACAGGGACACCTGCCTTGTGCGCGGAGACAGGCGCCTGGAAGCTTCAGTTGCTGCGCTCTGTTCTCATCATACTGACCACTAACTACGTGGCAAGACCTGGTGTTGACGCAGTTGCAGAAACGTCTCGAGTCCCAGTTTCCCTATGGGCCGGTCGTAGCGCAGTGAAGCGGTAAAAGTCGGAAAGGCTGCCTTCCAGGGCCCACGGGTCCAGGCGTGGGCCTAGAGCCACTGCTGGGTCGGTACACTGTATCTCACTCTCTCCGGTTCGTCTTCAGGTGTCTAGCTTACTAGTTGTAGTGCGGCAGGCGTGGCCTTCCTGAGATGGCAGGGGAGGCAGATAGAAGGGGAGGCAAGCCGCCTGAGAAACGTCTCATCTACCCACCACCCCCGTCGGCGGCACGTTTTTCTTCTTCCTCTTTGTCCTTCAACATTTGCTGAGCAATTACAGAATATGCTACGCCCTGAGGATACTACGACGACAGGCACTTTGTACTGGAGAACACAGTTTAAACAGGAAGACAGACCCAAACCCAAGGACGTGTGATAAAGACAGTCCAGGGAACAAAGTAAAAGGAAGCACGGATCAGGGGTAATTCCATTTGGAGAGTCAGAAAAGGCTTTACCTAGGTGACACTTGAATTGGGTATTAAAAGGTGACTAGGATTTTGTCGGGACAGCAAGATTATTTCAGGTAGAAGGAACGGTGTAATATATCCACAAGGGTGAGAACAGATTTAGGAGTGGTTAAGACCACTGTGGATGAAGCACGTGATACCTGGGGGAAGTGAGGGTGGTAGAGGAGGCAAGATCAGAAAGGTGCCATGAGTCCAGTTCACCACGGGTCTAATGTCATGCTAAGGAATTCAAACCTTACAACATGGACAAGGGGAATCTATGGACTTTTAGGCCAGAAATATCTGTTTGATATTTACTGAAAATGTGCTGTATGTTCGGTATTGTAATGGTCCTGTCTGTGCTTTAGAAAGATAACTGATGACAAAATGAAGGGGCTAGACTGGAAAGCAAGAGAAGAATAGAGGTAAGGGTATCAGGAGACTATGCTCCATGAGTCTGGGCAGAAGATAAAGTCTGAACTATGTGGTAGCAGAGGGAAAAAAAATACAGGAATGGATTTGGAACAATTAAAGTAAACTCATGTACAACCTAAAAACTAATCGGATGTCTGTATTGTGGTGGAGGTGACAGGTGACACAAGATGAAGGTAGCTTTAGCTTTCAGAGGTTGCATAACTTAGTGGCTGCCTGCTAGTTAACGGGAGCTAGTAAAACAGGAGGAACCACCAAATAAGGGGTAGCTGTGTGTAGGTCCATGAGCAGGGGAAAGCACAGAAAATTGGGGAAAGA